ATACAGTATGTCAGTAGTCAGAAGTTCATTTTGAGCAATCTGGAACATGGCTGTGTCAGAACAGAGGCGGCCCGAGCTTTTGCGAATTTTCCTCTTTGGTCTTCTCATTTATGGGCTTGCGGAGACCGTGCACTCGCAGCATAGACTGCATTCGGCCAAAAAACAGACGTCAGTTACAAGTGGCTCACAAGTTATATTAACAAGAAATGGAAAATCTTTACAAGTGTACCTTAGCCAAAAGAGCGAGGATGGGTCCAGGTTGAGGGTGCCGACTCCTCTAACCGCCTCCCTGTCCTCAAGGGAGACAGCTTTCAGCATGGACTTGGCCAGCTGTACAAGATCCGGCCTTTAAGGGACATTTGCACAATTAATACTCTGTAAGTACTTGGTATAAATGCGGCCAATAGACCGATTGCTTTCAGAAGTGCTGGCCGACTGCTGATTAAACTTAACCCTACAAGGGTAGGGCAAGGGGTTTGAATAGCTGATAGGCTTTGAGGAGGAAGGCTTTGCTGAGTTGCCCTACAATAAAAACCACAATAAGTAAGAAGTAGGCGACAAAAAAGCTAAATAAGACTTGTACAAAGCTAGAAAGAAATTCACCTTGTCCGTAGACCGCTTGCCCAAAAGGGTGCGGTAGTAGGCGGCAGGTTTCCTAGTGGCCGGGAGTCTTTCCATTACTTTGTCTGCAAAAAGATTTCAAAGGGTTAGACAAAATGTACAAAAAAGGAAAGTACACACCTAAGTCTAACAAAAATAGTAAACACGTTCGGCCAACTACCTCTCGGCCTCTCAATACTAAGACCGCAGGCAGCCAAATAGTCCCCGTAAAAAAGCCAGTCATGACGAGGAATGTAACTTTGGGGGATGAATTCTCTCGCCCCTGTTTAGCATTTGCCTGAATGTCCACTTTGAAGAGACCCTGGTCAAGGATCTCCTCTCTTTGCCTTTCTTGGAATTGGCGGCTTTTCAGTGGCGCCTGTTAGGAGAGGTGGATTGCGGTTCCACCTGTTGTACATCTTATTCTTTACTTTGTCAGGGTAGGAGACTATGTAAAATTTGTTCCTCCAGCCTTTCCACTTGTTCTCCTTCCCTATTGTCATCATATAACCTTGTGGCTAGACAAAGTGTACTAGCCGGCACCGCTTGTTTTGGGGTTTTGCTGAGATAGTGCATATGGGCGAAAAGCCTCAAAGCTTGGATCCATACTCATCATCTCACAGCCGGCAACATACCCCAGAATGTTGAACCAAGAATTGTGGGCAAGTTGCCTGACGCCCAGCTGTTATCCATCCAAAATCCGCTGTACGGCCGGATGTAAGGGAAATCGAAGGCCAGCCTGAATGGCCGCCTCATAACACCCAAAGCACTCGTCCCCGTAGCTGGACCCTTCTGGCCAGACTACGGTGTCCTCGGCATACGGCACGTAAAGGATATAACCATGGCCCATGATATGGTCGGCCCTAAAGCTACCTATCTTCTCAGACATGGCCTTCCGCCTGCCTTTAGGGACATGGCAATAATAGGCGGCATACATATTTTGCCTGCCAGCAGCCGACTCAGCCCAATTCTCCTCCTTCTCCGCAAAACGGGACTCTCTCGCTGTTTCCAGCCGAGAGCGCAACTCCTCAGAGGCGTCAGATGGCTTTCCAGACACTAGTAGAAATTTTGATATAGGCACCCCCCTTTAGCACCGGTTCTTGAAAACCGGTGCCAAAAGAAATGGGAGGGATTGGAAAATTCAGAGTTGGCACCGGTTCCAACCAAAACCGGTGCCAACTAATCTAATTAGCACTGGTTCAAACCGATGCCAACCAAAAAAAAAAAAAACAAAAAAACAAAAGAAAGCAATAGAGTTGGCACCGGTTCGTCTTAAACCGGTGCCATTAAAAAAAACCGGGCTTCTCGTATTTCTTCTTCTTCTTCTTCTTCTTTTCTTTCCCCCTGATTTTTCAACTTGTTTTTTCCCTCGTTCTCACCTTCTCTTCCATGCCACCACCTCCGAATTCCCACCTTCTCCATTGAAGCCGTTTTTGAGCTCTCTCACTCCATTAAAGCAGCTGCATGCACCTCCTTCTCTCTCCATATCTCTCCTCCATTGAACTCGTGCTCTCTATTCTCCATTGAAGTGCATTATGAGTTTTTCACCTCCATTGAAGCAACTTTGAGGTAAGATTTGGGCCATTGTGGTCTTCTTAATCTACCGAATTTCTTCGCAACCTAAGGTTTGTAGTTGATTTGGTTTTCAATTTTGTAATTTTAAGGTTTTGGTTTTATTTCTATTTTTTGTCAAACAAAATAAGTAGGAGAAGGAGAGAGTAGGTCCTACCCGCCGCCACTCACCCTTCGCCGGCCACCCTCCGTTCCCCTCAGCCGTCCTTCGTGCGTCGGCTACCGACCACCAGGTAATTTTTCTGATATTTTTTCTTAACACTAGATATCCTATTCTAACTATTGATCGGATTTTAAGGGTTTATCAGTTATCACCTCCTTCATCTTCTTAATAACTTCAACCATTTGTAATTAGGGTGGAATTTCTCTTTCTTCAACAAGATTTCACTGCAAAAAATGGAGTTTAGGAATTATAAATCATGGGAAGAAGAAATTTACTGGAATAATTTTCATTTTGCTCGTTTCTCTCTCATTTTACCCACTAATTTTCATCATCGTCTCGTAAGTATTCCTTATTTAATTAAATTACTGCATTATTTATTTAATATTAAGAGTATTTATTTTATTCCATTTCCTTACTTTGATCTTGTAAAATAAACTACAATTAAATTGCCAATGTACTAGTATTTTTATTGCTGATTTTTCTTCATTTTGGTTTCACCCTTAGTTTATTATGATTATAAATGTGTTATTCCTCTGTTTTTCTCAAGGGTTTGTGAGTTGACTATGGTCAAGGTTTTTTTTAAGGGTTTATCAGTTATCACTATAACAGGGATTTTAATTTAGATGCGTAAAAAAGTGACCTGACTCGACCTTAAAGTAATCTGATCAATATTTCGACATATATGGACAATATAACTCACAGGTTTTACATGATGTAAGGAACCCTCATGTTAATGCTCATAATGGCTACATCTCTTTTCTTACATTGTAATTGAATGCATATTTTATTCCTTCTGCAGGTTATGGGGAAAGGCATGTTGGTTATCATTTCCGATTCTGGAAAGCTCTCTTTTCTAACATTTTGTAATGAAATGCACAGGTTCAACTCTCATCTAGAGCCTTCCTCTATGAATTCTCCTCTGCTTTTTAATAGAAATTTGGATGTATTTATAGTTTCTCGTTGTGTAAACTAATTATGGTTTAGTTGGTGACTTGTATTTGTGCTTCCGCTGACTGATTAGGTTCTTTCCAGTGACTCATGTTCAACTTTTAATTCCTGGCAACTCAAGACACCAGATTGGTAGAATGCTTGCTATTGATGCCTTGTAAGTATTTTCTTTAGAGTTATTGCAATGTAATTTTGTCACCTATTCATAGCCATATTTGGAGACTATATCCAGGCCATGCTTTGCCCTGATTCAAATGTAGGGTGCCTCATCAATAATTAGATTCTTGTGTGTATTGATTTATTTTCGGTTGGCTACATAATTTTCACCCTTGTTTGTATTAATTTATTTAAGCGAACACCTCTTTTCATGTTATGTTTGAGAATAACATGGTTATTGCTTTGCTGCGACTGGATTTTCTTAGGTATGACCTACAACACTCTGGAGTTTATGACATCACTGGAAAACATGAAGATTTAGCAACTTGCATTGAGTATTCTCCAGAAACAGGTGAGTAGTATTTGGTAGAGCAATTGATGTGATAAAAATTAGTTTAGGAGGCAAATGCTTTGTGGTATGGTTTTATGATAATTTAGGCGTTATGTGTTAAGTCACTAGAACCAAAAAAGTTTTCATAATTCCTGTCTTGGTTTGTAATTGTTAAATTTTGTACTTGTATGCTTTTATGTGGATTTAATGTTGAAATAGCTTAAATGAAAGGTTAGTTAATCAGAGTGTTATTTTCCCATTACTAAGGATCAGACATAGTAACAAGTGAAAATCATATTAATAAGCACATTTATGAGAGTTATCAATAATATCATAATCCACATTAAACCAGTGATACTAGAATTTAGTAATCTGAAGTCCCAAAACCAATTCGAAATGACAATGGTTTTACATAGCTAGATAAAACAACGGAAATTAAACAACAATGAGTAGTGATGGTCACTAATTTATAAATTGAGGGCAGTTTTAACATTCTTCTATCCTGGAAACGTAGGATAGTTCTTTTAGATTTGCGTTATATTTTGGTCTTTTGGTCCAATAATTCATTTTGAGTTTTTTTGGTGTTTTTTGTTGTTTGAGTTTTTTGGTGTTTTTTGTTGTTTGAGTTATTTCAGTATGTTTGGTTGAGCTATTTCTGTAGATACATTGTATGGAATATGGATGTTTTAGGTCTATTCCCTCTGCAGGCGCACAAGTTTTATGGTGTTCAGGATCCTTTGGCACAAGAGTGTTTTGAGGCTATTAAGTCTGCAAAAAGTCCTAAAAAGAAGCAGCCAGGATAGGAAGGAAAATGCAGAGACGAAGACCAGACCTGGTATGTTTCATTTTCTAGAGTTTAATGAAATCTTCAAAACTACTAGTCTCGCTCTATAATTGTGATGTTACTATGATTTTCTCCTGTGTCTAAATTGTAAAAGGAAATATCTAATCTCATCCTGTCCATTTTGGAATGTCTGAATTGAAGATCATATTCTGAATCCTTCTTAGGGGACCACTGCCAGTAGAAGCTGCATTTTCAGGATTCAGACTTCGACAGTATCTTGAGCTGTCAGCAGTCTAGCATAATTTCCCAATTTCCTTACAATTTGCTGTATTCAGTTTGTATGTATGCCTGGATAGTGAAATTCATACTCCGTATATGCAAGCTAGCCATTATAACCTCATAAGTAAATACAGTTGTGGAGTTCATTGTGGAGTTCTTCAGTTGTGCCATCAATCAAGGTTTTCTTCTTTCTTCTTTTTTCAGTTGTTCTCTTTATTCTTGAGTTTGTGTGTTTGTTTAATGTTATTAGTGTATTACACTTGAACAACACTTGGTCATACAGTCCCTGGACTGGAGTTCTAGATTATGAAATTTGACTGTTGAATTTTGTGTTGTCTTTTTAGGTTGCAGAATCACTTGGTCATACAGTCCTTGGATGGCGTCCTGTCCCAATTGATAATTCGGGACTTGGTAAGTCTGCTCTGATGACTAAACCAGTGGTTGAACAGGTGTTTCTAACACCAACCCCTCGATCCAAAGCAGACCTTGAACATCAGGGATTTTAACTGTTTTAGCTCCTGTTGCCCTGGGTTTTCTAATTTTTTTTTATCAATTGAAGTATGTTTTAGCTCCATTGATCTGTTTGGTTATTGATTATGTAGTATTGGATTTGAATTAAATGTGTGTTGTTTGTTTGTTTATTTATTTGAATTAATTTGATTCTATATGTTTTATGATATTGCATCTGGGTTTTTAATTTTGGAATATTTGAAGTGTATGCTTTTATATAAAAAAGAATGATTTTCTTGGGTGAAGGGTTAAATTGGGGTTCTAAGGCCAGGTTACTAATTTCTCTTTTATAAAAAAGAATGATGAACATGAGTGGCTTCCTACTTTCCAGCTTTCCGCCGCCGGGTTTCTAATTTTAATCCATGGACATGCTATTGTTCTGTTTGTGGGTTTTAGATTTTTCCGAAAACTCTGTTATATGGAAATTTGGTTCCTTTATTTTTCATTGATATTTAATTTTGTTGACAACCTCTTTTATATTGGTCCGGTTTCTCGAGGCTGAGTGCTTGTTTGTCTTAGGTTATTGAGTGCGTTGATGGAATGAGTATTTTTTTTAGGCAAAGAAATTAATATCCTTTTAAAATTGGGTGTTTTGGGATTTTCAAGATTATTGCAGCATGGACACATAGTTGTCAATATATCAATGTATCACCGACGAAGGAAATTTTAAGTAGAAAACAAGAGTTATGTGTTTTCTGGTTATGTTATTGAGCATCAAGCGTATTTATTATAACATTCATGACCAGTGCAGTGAGTTATGCAATGGAAGAACATTGATTTTATGATTGTTTTGTTTTTCTTCTAATTTAATATTTGTGTTTTTGGGATATATGGTTATATCTTTCTGAGCACGACATATAGATCTTTGTTTGTTGTAGGATATGTGGTTTTATCTTTCAGAGCATGAAAAATTCAGAGATTTTGGGAATGAACAAGCTCTCATCTGGCATGAGACTAACATCCATTATGTAGTCTGGAAACCTGAGAGTACCAGGACCTTGTCCTTAAATTATCAGCCTTCTAAGGTGATTTTATATTTTTCAAATACGAATAGTTATACTATCCTATGAATTAGCACCATATTAAATTTTTAGAACTTTTTTTAATGCATATCATTCTTTTAGCTGGGAGTTTCTTCTGTTGAATACTTGAATGCTCCTATTTTAACTGTTGCTTGGTGTTACATTTTATCTCCAGGGATTTCTCTGAGCTGCTGGCTGCTGTGTTACTTTAGGCTAGACTGCTAGTTTCTGGTCCTCCTGCTATCTGGTTTCTGTTGCTAGTTCTGTCTGTGCATTGCTGCTGCTGGTTCCTTCTCTGCTTTGCCAGCTGCTGCTGTTTCTGGCTCTGTTTACTCTGGCTGCTGTTGTGCAGTTCTCTGCCTGGTGCTATGTGCCTGCTTTTGGCTGCTGCTGCTGTCCTGCTGGGCTTGAGGGTTGGCGCAGTGTGTTGGCTAGTTCCTTGTTCCTCTGTTCAGCTGCTAGTGTGGAGCTGGTCTTAGATATTTTCGTTCCTTGTTTGATATTTTCTGGACGAAAATTGTAATATTACAGCCTTTTTAATGAAAATATGTAACTTTATATATATGTTAATGTTTCTATATCAATTTAAGTGAAAAAAAATATTTATTTTTATTTTTTTGGGGTATTTTTGGCACCGGTTTTGACCAGAATCGGTGCCAAAAGTTTTTTAAAATTGTTTTTTGACACTTTGGGCACCGGTTCAAAGCAAGAACCGGTGCCTAAAGTGGGGTTTTTTGCACCGGTGCCAATAGTATTGAAAATAAAAAAAATCGCGCCATGATAGTTGGCACCGGTTAACCGGTGCCAAATTCTTTAATTGGCACCGGTTTTGAACCGGTGCCAAATTTTCATGGATTTGGCATCCCTCAAATACCGAACGGTTCAAAACCGGTGCCAAAGGGGGGGTTGAACCGATGCCTTTTTATCTTTTTCGTCTAGTGAGAGGTGCTTGTTTCGGGTTCGCTGTCTGAGGAGTAGGACCTATCGTCCGCCTGAGGGGCTTGATCAATGGAGCTCGGAATGTCATTTTGAACTTCCTCCCATGATTCTTCTATGACGGAATCACTGGGGGTACTTGGGGCACCAGGCCGCATGTTAGATAGCTCAATGATAGGCGCATAGAAGGAGGAGCCGTCTGAGTTTGTCACCCTTGTTGTTCTTTTAGTTCTGGCCATGGTGTCCTGCGCAGACACATAGATAGTCGGACTTGGGGGCAGTTCGCAAAGGGTGGTCTAGCAAGGGGCAGTTGGGACTCCTAGTTATAGATTCAGCCATCCTCGGTGACCGGCTGATCACTAACCTAGGCTGTGCCGTGTGCTTTTGGGATACCATTTTTAAAAAAGAAAACAAACAAAGTGAAAGTACAAGAGAAATACAAGCGGTTACCTTTGATTTGAAAAGTTGATGGTGCTTGAAAAATCTAGCGATTGTAAGAGCAGGCGGCCAGGAAGGAAGCGACAATCGTCGTCCTTTCTCAAAAGGTGTCAAGGGCTAAAGTCCAAAGTCTGAAAATTCTAGAACGCCCAAACAAATGATTTGGACATTCCCTGTTTATAGGGGGGTGAATTTCAAGAGACAGTAAAAAAAAAACGGTAAAAACCGTTGGCCAATCAGAGTGTGACATCTGTCACAAGCGCCACGTGGCAAGCCACGTCACCCCTGTGAGGGGCAAATGATTAGGGGATTTTTACCCCCCGCCATGTGGACCAATTGAACTTTGCCACGTGTCATCCATGTGGAACAACCAGAGTCCGCTACGTGTTACCTCGTGAAAGGTCCAAGGTGGACCAATCAGGCCCCGACACGTGGCAGACATATTTCCAACTAGGAAAGTGGCCTTTAACGACCCAAATTCCTAGTCAAGCCCAGTCAGTTCTAGGTTTCTGAAACCTAGTACTAGGCACACATTTCTAGACCCTATAAAAGGGAGATGTTCCCCCTTGGGAACACAGATTCAAAAATCATTAAACACACATGTACATTAATTTCTAAGCATTAACTCCAGCTTTATTTGCACTTCTTAAGAGCTAAGGCTCGGATTTCGAGGCTGTCTCAAACAGTCAGATGATCACTCCTCTCCTCAGAGCAGCCTAATCCCATCTACATTCCGCACTTTTTTTACATCCGAACACGTTCTAACTTGATCGTCCGAGGCGGAACTCCCACCCCGGGAGTCTCCGTTGTTTTGCAGGTACAGGCGCGTGGATTCAGTCTCGGTGTTGTAACTCTCCCGTAGGACTCATAAAAAACCCTAAAACAAGGGTAGTAAGTAGGAGGTTATGAGAGATGATTAGGGGATTTTTATCCACCAAGCGCCGTTTGACAAGTGGACCCAACCAGGTTCCGCCACGCGTCCTCCACGGACCACTTAAGACACGCCACGTGTCCACCCATGCCAAATGGGACAACCGGCCATCAAGGCCCATTTCAGTCTAGAAGCCCGTTCGGCCCTAGGTTTACCTTAAACCTAGAGAGTTGCACGCTTCCCAAGGCTATAAATACTCGATTAATCTCATTAATCGGGGGACCGAATAATTTACAGAACACACTAATAACCGGCTGATCTCGCTAGCAAAGCAGATTACCTACATTAAATACTCTCACCTAGAGAGACCTTATTACTTTAATTTCTGTATTAATTACTCCTTAATCAGGTACTAACTTGACCGTTGGAGGCGGAGCTCTCAGGAGTCTCCGTTATTTTGCAGGTACAGGCGTCCGGTTCCAGTCTCGGAATTGTAACTCTCCCGCAGGACATCAGAAAACCCCGAAACATTTGGCGCCGTCTGTGGGGAGAGTACTTCAGAGATGGCATCCAAGTCTGTACCGACCCCAGAAGAGAGGCGTCCCCTAGACGACCCTCAAGTTCAGTCGGACCATGATACCGAAAGTGAATTTGAAGTTGAAACTCATACAGCTCCAGACGGGACCCTAAGGGCCCGCCGTACCCGTCATACTGAAATAAGGGAACGGGAGTATCTTCAAACAGGAAGTGAGCCAGCAGGCGCACCGCTTGCTCGGCAACAGCCGACTGATGGGTCTGCTCCGATCACAAGAAACGAACTCATGACCTTCATGAGGGGATTCAAGGGAGAGATCCAAGAGTTGATCAACAAAAAACCGCCTGCTTCAGTCAAAGAGCAGGCGGCCAAAAAACCTTCCACTTCACTCAAGAGGAAGCCAGTTCAAGGGCGAGAGGCGACTCCCCATCCTAAATCTAAGAAGCGGGAGCCGTCTGCTCTTGATTTCACAAAACTCCGTTATCCTACGGGAAATAGGAAACCGGTTCGTCATATTCAGGCGGACGGGTCAAAGCAAACGTTCACAGATGCTCGGCACCTGCTAAAGCAGAAGAGGAGTGACCGATTATCAGAGTCGGCTTCTACTTCAAATTTTCAGGACAGTTTGCGAAATGCCTCGATGAGGCCAACTCAGTCGTACCATGAGAGTCAGTCAGGCGGCACCTCCCGACAGTCTGGCTTTCATAGTGCGCAGGCGGTACCAAATTTGCCATTTGTGCCGCAACAACAATATTTTATGCAGCCACCTCCATTTGGTGGACCTGCAGCAAAAAACGTCCAACCTATGGACTGGCAGCTACGGCTGCTTAGACTTGGTGAACAGCCGTCGGCCTTCTCCAAGGAAATTACTGAAGCCGCTCAGCCGGCCAGAGTAAAAAATGTTTTAGTAGGCCTATGATGGCACTACTAACCCGGAAGACCATCTGATGGCATTCACCAACCTGATGTACCTTCAAGGGTTGGATGATCCCACTTGGTGCAAGTGTTTCCCAGCAACTCTCAAGGGAATTGCACAGCAATGGTTCGGCAACCTGCCGACTGGTTGTGTAAACAGTTTCAGGACGCTTGCTTACTTATTTGCCTCCAACTTTGCAATGAACATCCCTGCGAAGAAAACGACCCTTGATTTGGGAACAATTCAGCAGGGTGAAAAGGAGGGGCTTCGTTCCTACATCAGGCGGTTCAACCTGATGAGAATACAGATTCAAGGGTTACCGGATGAGGTAGCTTATACTGACTTTTTTAGAGGTCTCAAAGACGGGTCTACCTTCAAATTTGATTTAGTTCGAAAAAGGGTGGCGACTCTTCAAGAGGCCTTGATTGAAGCAGAAGCCTATATACAGGCGACTGATCTGTGTACAATGAAACAGTCGGACGGGAAGAGGTTCGACAATAGAGAAGGACGACAGAAACAGTCGTCCAACAAAGATGAAAAAAGAAAAGGGGTCTGGGCGGCTGATTCCTCTAAACAGCCGGCCAAGAAGAAAAAGGAATTCAAACCATACTCCCCAAAGTATGTGTTTAACAAGGATAACCAGTTTATCCTAAAAGAAATAAAGGGACGGCTCTCAATTGAGAAACCGCTCCCCATGAAGGGTTCTGCGAGCAACCGGAACCAAGACAAAAATCTGTGCTTATCATGATGACATTGGTCATCACACCAACGACTGCATTAGTCTCATGCGGTACCTAGACCGCTTGGCTGATCAAGGTGATCTTGACACTTATGTCAAGAAATCTACGGGGAATACTTCCTCAAAAAAGCAGTCGGCCAAAAAGAATCAACAGGCCGACAGTTCCGATACTGATGATGCAGTCGTCTACACCATTGCAGGCGGCTTCTCAGGAGGCGGCCCCACTATTAGGGGCAACGAAGATAATATAAGGCGGTTAGATGTAAATTCCGTTCACCAAGAACGACCGTCCAAATA